AGCAAAAGAAACTATACAGAGGGGGTTTCTGCTCCGGTCAAGGATTTATGTGCTAAAATAAAGACTGCGAGAGTGACTAAGTCCTCAGCCCAATGTCTCCAATGCCCCAAACTGTACCCCTGAAACCCCAGGAGCGGGGGCATGTGAGGTAACCTGCTAAACAGGACCTGCCGTTCACACACACACACACAAACAAAACACCTACTTGGCACATGAAATGACTGGTTATGATCATTTTTGGTGGATGAACAACATACACGCTTCATTGATAGACAGTTGGGGTCCTATGACAGAAACATCATTATTTGTGATGGACAAACAACACACAAGCTTAGTTATTATAATAACAATATACTTGCTTCATTTATGGATATTTGGGGTACCACGAAAGAAACATCATTACTTGTGACGGACGAGCAAAACATATGCTTAAATGATGGATTTTCAGGTCTTAAGATGGAAGCATCAACACTCAGAGTAAGTAAACCATTACAGTATTCCCAAAGGAAAATCCTCAAATAAAACTCAAAAGTAACTACAGAAACATCAAAGACAACATAATGGGGAGTAAACAAGGCCAGGTTAGAACAGACACTACAACATCAATAAGCAGCAAAATTATCAAATGTTTCAGTGCTGGGAAATGTTAAAAGAAATCAATTCTCTACGGGCTACTGTTTAACTCTATAATTAACCAGATCTCTCATATACTATACCGTGTCTAATATAGAGCTAGACTGTGTCCCACTTCAGTTGTAAGTGAAGTAAGTAAAGAACCCTTTTCTATGCCTTCAAGCGTAACTGGCATATAGGGCTAGACCTATAATTTACAGAACAATTGGCATTTGGTGGGTGATGTGGTCAGCATGTCGGGTGCCTTTACTTCCCAGGACTGCACCTAGTACCCACTCAAAGCGGGGTAGAACTGGGAGTTGAGAGTCTTTTTTTTTTTTAAAGTCCAGCTTTGTCAGGACCCAAACCTATTATTTTCTAATCAGCAGGCAAGCTCAAGCTGCTACACCACGGTAACTCCACTTGGGCTGAACACAGGTAAAAAGATCCCAGCTGCTTTCACAACAGTATTAAACACCATAAATTTCACATATATTGTGTTACAACATAAAGAAGAACAGCTGAAAGTTTTGCTGAAACCCCTTAATGGTGGCTTATAGGCATAGTGTCTACCTTCAGTTTAAAAAGAGATAGGGTGATCCATTTGTTGATAATTTCTTTCAACAACAACAACAACAAAACTAGAACCCAAACATTATTGAACTGGATGTGTAGCCTTCTTGGACAGGTGTAATGATCAGAGCATCTAGGTGCATTCTCAACCTTTTTGTCTTGCAGGTTTTGCTTTTAAAACTTAAATTCTGAATCAAGAATTACCTCTTGGATTTCACATGTGCCTAAGTTTAGCTGGAACACATTTTTCAAGAAGGTTTCAGAAAGTACTTTCCAGCATCCTGAGAGATGCATTCCCCACTAAATCCAATCCGGCTTCTGATTGACACCAACTTCCACCCCAATCACTTAGACTGCTTCCAAAATTCTTCGCCCCCACCTTACCCTCCCCTAATTTGATCCGGATATTCAGAAGATCTTAAGTAAGAACTCTATTGGTTTACAGATAAAACAAAACAAAAAAGTTAATTTTTCAGAAGCAGATACCCATCAATACACACAGCAGTTTCTGCTGTTCTAGAAAATGCATCTGCATTATATATCAGATATATCAGTTTATTATCCATACCTCCCCAGTCAGATTCTCAAAAAGTGTGTTCCAGATTACAGAAGAATTGACCTTTTTATTTCACAGTGCAATTTATGCCATCAGCGCAAACATGACAGACAGGAATGGGGTTAGAGTTAGTAAAAGAAACACCCCTATTACACTGGACTTTCCAGGGAACTCAGAATTTCACTTTGTTTGGGGTTAATTTAAAAAAAGGAACTCCCCTTCCCTTTATTTTCCTACTTTTCTGTATTATCATTTGTTACCGTGTGTGAGCACCTGTCTGTTTGACTGTTTTAATTTGTTTTTGTGGGGGAAAGGGACTTGTTGCTTTAGTCCCTCATAAAATGTTTAGGTTGAAATGTACACTCATATTTGTGGATTCTGTCCCTTCACTACAGCTGCTGTAGTATAGCAGCTAGACACTTGCCTTCAGATCCAAAAGTGGTTAGTTCAAATGTGCATGCAGCCAAATTTTTATTTTAACTCTTTGAGTCCCAAGGAATGCACCATACGTTCATAGGTTCCTACCTAGAGGCCCAATAAACGCAACATGCGCTGATTTTAGGTCTCTCTTGACTACCCCTTGGGCCTCTCATGCTAAACCCCCTGGGACTCAAAGAGTTCAGTAATCTTATCGACATTTGCTCTTAGATCCACCCAGCCCTAAATGGGTACCAGGTAAAGTTCTGGAAAGTAAAGGCGGTTGGTGTGATGTTGAAATAAAATCACCCGCCGAGTGCTGACTGAACTATAAAAACGTAAGTCTAACCTCACATACCCAATGTGCCACTGGCATGAAAAAGGACCTTAACTTACTTAGTATTCAATCTGTAAGGCAATAATATAGAAAAGAGTTGGTACTCTTTAAAAAAATGCAAATTCATATATGGAATACAGTGTGTACTTGAGGACAGACATTTTACAATGATACAATGCTATTTTTGGTCTCTTCAAAACTGCTAAGCCTTTATGCTATGGAGAAGAGGAACTTTACCCCTGACTTTAATTGTGGAAACAGGGATAAAGGAGAACATGAATGCAGATAGGTTCAGGGCTTCTACTACAGACATATACTATATACTTACACCTTAGCCCCTGCAGTACTGGTATACTTACACCTTAGCCCCTGCAGTACTGGTATACTTACACCTTAGCCCCTGCAGTACTGGTATACTTACACCTTAGCCCCTGCAGTACTGGTATACTTACACCTTAGCCCCTGCAGTACTGGTATACTTACACCTTAGCCCCTGCAGTACTGGTATACTTACACCTTAGCCCCTGCAGTACTGGTATACTTACACCTTAGCCCCTGCAGTACTGGTATACTTACACCTTAGCCCCTGCAGTACTGGTATACTTACACCTTAGCCCCTGCAGTACTGGTATACTTATCCTTAGCCCCTGCAGTACTGGTATACTTACACCTTAGCCCCTGCAGTACTGGTATACTTACACCTTAGCCCCTGCAGTACTGGTATACTTACACCTTAGCCCCTGCAGTACTGGTATACTTACACCTTAGCCCCTGCAGTATGTGTATCATACTGTATGCATTAAGTTCCAAAAATATGTATGAAGTTTTCTTTAGATTTTTTATGACTTGTTCTTCTTCTTCACTGGCTTTAAAAACTCTGGCAAAAAGTTCTGAGTGTTCAGTCACTTGAAGAATCACACCTTGTTCCAGAACTTGGGTCAAATCCTTAAAATGGATGTGCAGGTACAACTCATGCTCTAAATCAATACTAAAGTCCAGAAGTGGATAAACACCCAGAACTATTTGCTGGAGTTTACAGCTGGTGAACATAAAGAAGACAAAGATGAATCTGAGTGTTGCCTGCACACACATTTTACAGACTTAGCTTATTTGTGTGCAGAATGTTGGTTCCTATCCCTCAGGGACATGCACTCCAACTGTGAAGGCAATCTCTAATTAGGCACTTTTTGCACAGCTGGTTAGGTGGGCTGTGGGTCTATTAATTTCTCCCTAAAATGTGACTCCAGAACTCGCATGGAAATTTCAACTGGCCAGATTTCCAAACATATGCATAAATTAATTTACAGGCAAAATATTCCTTGTATATTAGCAGTTAATGTTTACAATTTATAAATGTCACAAGACAACTTTTTTTTAAACAGAAATAACAAAATCATGAAAAAAGTAATGAGTTTTTTTGAAAAATTAATTTTATAACATTATCCTTCCCCACCCCCTGCACAAGAATATAATACTCATGGCATTTCTGTCATTAACTATATGCTGACATCAAGTTATGATTATAGTTTTATATATATATATGGTTCTCCTTGCAGCTACGGCCACATACTGGGGGAGTAAGCCGGAGTTCAGTCCCCTCGCCGCATTGCAATTACGGAATGGAAAAGGAATGAATCGATGGGAGTACATGTGTTACCCTAACCCTACCCCTATGATGACAGCAGTGCACTGCACGCTGTAAATCACTCACGCTGTCTATCGCCAACACACACTAATTACGTCATTTGTTTCGTTCCCTCTTTTTCACTCCATAATTGTAATGCGGCCAGGGGACTGAACTCCGGCATACTCCCCCAATATGTGGCCGTAGTTACAAGGAGAGCCTATATATATATATATATATATATATATATATATATATATATATGTATGGGGGAGGGGTTAGAGATTAACAAACAGTACATATATACATTAAAGACATCACTAATGTAAATATGTTATAATTAATATTAAATTTAAAATTGTAGCATAGAAAACAGTTTTCACTGTCAGGTTACTCAGGTGAAAACCCAGTAGAAGGAAGCTTTGCTTTACAGATTTGATTTCCATTTGTAAATTACTTAACACAAGTGCCAAAAGACAATTTTTTTTCGCCCTGAAATAATTTCAGAAATTAGTTTCAGTTGCTATTTCTTCTCTCCAAAAAGGTTTTTAAAAAATAGCCCTGTACGTAATATTTAATAACATGTGAATTAAAATTTATTCTATATAGTATGATTATATGATAAGTATCTGTCTAATGAATGATCAAGTATCAAGATAACTCCGGTAATGAAATAATTGAATTCCTGTGTGAAATTTATATTAAAAATTTGTAACAAACAGTCAACAATTAACACAGATTAGCAGCTATCCCATCTGCACTTCTTAACTGACCACGAAGCAACAATCTGTATTTAATTAACACGATCTACCCGAAAACTTGTTTATAAATATACAGCAGTGCAGTGTGAGTGATAATATTATTAATATGTTTGAACTTACCGTATGATTAACGCCCCACATAAAAACACTCAACAGCGGTTCGTTGGCCCGAAACAACTTTAGTTTCGGTGCCACCGCTTTGATTTGTTTCCTTTTTGTAGACGCCAAATTCATCTTAAATAATATTGCACTTCACCGGATTCTGAACTCGAATCGTTTTTTGTTAGCTCCCACAGTTAAGAGTAGGAAGCGGCACTGCATAAAATGAAGCAGTTTGACCCAGAAGATAATTCACATCCTCCGTCGGTAAGCGATTAGAAATTGTAAACAAGATGGCGCTACCCAGCATCCACTCCAACAGGGTATACAACTCTTGATAACTATAGTTACGATATTATTTTAGGAATAAGACAAACCCGATCAGCACGGTGAATGAATCAAAAAATGGACATCACTGCGCTCGCGACACCCCCATACGTGCTCCTTTTCCAGAAAGAGTCGGCATGCTTATAGTACCAGTAGCAACATGATGAAAAGTCCGCCTCTGTTTCCCCTTCAGTGTTAAATATCTTTCAGAACCTCTGCTCACCCCCACATCTACATCCGTTAAATTAGTCTTTCAGTGTATGTATTCACTTTCTGTTCTTTGGCACTGTCCATATGATTCAATAGAACCTTTACCACATCCGCTTTATCATGTAGTAGCTCACCGCCCAGAGACGTGGCAGCAGACTATCTGTCGTTCGTCGCACTCCTGCATTTCCTGGACAGAAAATCCATTCTTCTTCTTTGATCCTTCTGTCAGAAAACTTACATCAGGAGGTCCGTAGCCTTTATGAAAGCTATCGTGCAATCCATATCCTCTCGTGTACCATACAGTTTTGTCTGCATTGTGGTTGGAACAGGCCAGATTGCGTCTCGGTTGTCAGCATACAGTTGACAGTGTTGGAGCACATGCTCAGCATTTTCGGGTGCCACGCTGCAGGAACACGTCTCCGTATTTCCTACACCGAAAAATGTGAACATATGTTGACGAAATCTGTTGTGCCCAGTCCTTAGTCTGAATATAATACACTGTCCCTCTCTAGAGAGGCGATGAAGTGAGTTTTTGGGGAGAAAATCTGGTGTGGGTATCCAGCCACCTTTCTTGGATACTAGATTGTATTAATGTTTTCATCTCTTGGTAGGTTAAGTCGCTATTTGGTTGTACCATGTCACTGCCGCTTCTGGCCAATCTGTCCGCTATTTCATTGCCTTCCAAGCCACAGTGACCTGGAATCCACTGCAGTACAGACTGCTCTGCTGAAAAGCCTAAGTAAATCAGCTGTTGCGTCAAGTCTACAAACTGTCTTTTGGGTTAATATTTGCTAGTAGAACTAACATAGCATCAGTTAGAAAGACCACTCTGCTATATCTGCTGTGCTGTTGTCCATTCAGGAAAGAACATGCCGCTAGAAGTGCTTCTGCCTCTGCTCTGTAACTGGAAGAATATGAACCTGTTGGTACAGCCTGGTTGATTTTTAAACCATTTGGGCATTCTATGTATATTCCTCCTCCTCCGTCTCTGACTGCTCTCTTGGCTGAACCATCTGTATCTTGATATGGGTCTTATCAAGTAATGCAAGCTATTCTGTGCACAGGACACCTGTATCGGTTTTGCGAAGCATTCTCTGTGTTATAATCACAGAATATCGGGCGGCTGTGCTGTTCTCAAACCATAGGAAAGCTGCCGTCACTGCCTCAACCTCCCTGTGTGGGTTCTGGGGCCCTATTATAGGGAAAACAAGAATAGACCCACTGCCTACCAAAAAGCATGTCGTAAGAGTCGACTAACTGGGAGCTTCCTTTGAAGTCGGAGTACATCTGCCTGAGAGGCAAGGAACCAACAGTCTGCACACAGATATGTCAGATCTGTAAAACGGATGCACACGCAACACTCAGGTTGTGGAACAGGACTACAGTCCAGAAGTGGACGAACAACCAGAACTTTCCACCAGAGTTTACATCTGGTGAACGCAAAGAAGAAGAAAGAAGACTGCCTCAACCTCCATTTTCATACTGGATGTAGCGACAAGCACAAAGAAACATGAAAGCATATTCATTCCCATTCTATGTTACCATTGCCATACATCGTCACTCACAACAAACCAGGAAAAAATATATTAGTCGGTCACTCATAGATGTACCATTCTGTCCAGATCATAATCATCACTTCGAGTCTCTAAATTGTTCACATGTTGCCAACTTGTAGGCCTATTTTAAGAGCCGTTTGCAGGAAACTTATTTCAGTTGATAATTTCGCATTAATGTTTTTCTGTCGTTATCCAGGTCTGGCATTCATAGCCCAGGGTTGACAAGAAGATTGTGTTACAGCGTGCTATTTTGTTATCTACTTACTAAGTATTTGAAGCTCTTGTTCTGTAAACTGTTTAACATTGATAAATACAACATGACTGTTCTTTGAGTATCGCTCGCTCAAATGCCAAAACATTTGAGTCGATTCTAAATGTGTTCCCTGTGTGGATTCAAGAGCCACAATGTTGAGGTTGGGGAAAGGGGAGGGGGGTGGGGGGGGGGGGAGACAGACTCCTAGCCTTTCCAGTATGAATTTTGTAAGAGACGACCGACTGCGGAAAAGGGGGAATGGGGAGGGGGTGTGGGGGACTCCTTTCGAAGTAGGAGTACCTCTTGCTGACGCAAGAACCAACAATCTGCAATAAATAAATCAGATCTGTAAAACGGATGTGGATGCAACACTCAGGTTCTGGAATAAAACCAAAGTCCAGAAGTGGATGAACAACCAAAACTTTCCTCCGGAGTTATAGACGGTGAACGCGAAGAAGAAATACTACACGTAACACAAGAATAGCATGTTTAATGTGAACATTTGAGTATTATTATTCTGCTATATTTGGTAACTTTCGTCTGCCGTTGAATCACACGTCCTCAAGTACTTTCTACTCGACCCTAGAGGGTTGGGTTCTGCGTAGGGCTGTACCGAATACGAATAGTGGGACCAACTATTCGGGCGAATACGAATACGAATAGTGTATCATCATCATCAGGTGCCGTGTCGACTTGCGTGGGCGATCATGCCTCTCCACAATCTGCGATCTCCTGCAACATGTATTATTTCGTTTGCAAACACACTTCCATGCCCTGCAACAAGACTGTCAAGCATCTTCTCTTGTTGTCTTCCTCTATCCCTCCTCCCACAGATCTTTCCAGTGGTCACCACATGTTCAGTTTTCCCTCTTCTCATAACATGGCCGAAAAATGACGACTGTCTCCTTCTGATGTCTGTGATTAGTTGTCTTCGGGCTGCTGCCTCTTTCAAAACCATCATTCGCTCAGCCGTTCGTTCAATGTAAACGCACCTTCATATTCTCGTTAGCAATATCTTCAAATTTGATTTGGGCTAAGACACCCTGAAAGAACGAAAAAATCGTTGCCTTTAAATATAAGTGCTTGCGAAACGGGTGTAAGGTAACCCACGGCCTTCTCTATTTATCTAGAGAAGGCGGTGGGTAACTACTATTCGTATTCGGCCCGACCGCAAGTATTTGGCCGAATACCAAATAGTTATTAGGTCCACTATTCGGCCCCGAAGCGAATACGAAGCGAATATTTGGCACAGCGCTAGTTCTGCGTCAGTTTTTTTCTTCTTAAGCTACCGTGTTCTCGTATAGGCAGCATCTATGGCTTAGGCGTTGCTTCGGAATGCCGGCTTCGATCCCAGCTGTAAACGATCAGACAGAAGGCCGCTTTGTGTGAGTTTAGAGATGGTTTAGAAAACTGATCGATGAGTAGCAATGTCAAACTGCGGATCATAAACTTTGCCTAGTGACATTACAAACCGAACACACACACACACACACACACACACACACACACACACACACACACACACACGCACGCACGCACGCACGCACGCACGCACGCACACACACACACACACACACACACACACACACACACTGGGACGGGTTCTGCAAATGATAGGGTCTGGGTATTTGCTTGAGGCCTTGAGCTCCCTACCCCACTCCCACTCCCGAAACACTTGTCAAAGGGCTGAGAGAGCTCCTCTCTTTTGAAGTTCTGTTCTTAAAAATATATTTATACATTTTATATTATCTCATATATATTATTATCTCAAAACTGACAACATTTTATGTTTAATTAACACGACACAAATTTCTAAGAAAAGTAATTATAAAGTTTTGTTTTTAAAAGTGAAAAGGAGGCGAGGTAAAACACAAAATTTACGGTAGCTTATAAACAACAGAGAGAGAGAGAGAGAGAGAGAGAGAGAGAGAGAGAGAGAGAGAGAGAGAGAGAGAGAGTGTGTGTGTGTTAGATGGAGACGGTCTTGGTTAAAAGCAGAGCCGTCAGACAGCTTGCCTTCACATCTTCGCTACTCTAACACTTCGGCGACCGAGTCGCCCAGTGGCTCGCCGGTAGACGACATCGTCACCGGGCGATACAGTATTTGGGTCAGTCTTCTTTGGTCGCATCAACACTACAGGAGTCTTGTTCAAGGCTTCTGGTGGCGTGCAATGCTAAAAAAAATTTTTATGGTGCACATAACCTAGTCACAATTATAATCTAAATCTTCCACTTCAGGGATGCTGGTTAAATGTGACGATTTTTTTTTCTTACAGCTACTTACAGCTAACTCTCCACCCGGACACGCCCCTGCACGACTGCTATGTAAACAATGGCCGCATGCGGTGAACTCTCTAGCTTTAACCAAGACATATAAGCGGCGCTTGGAATGTTACAGTGTGTGGTTCAGTAGCATTTTGATGTCGTAGTGATAACCATTCTGTAGACGCTAGTGTATATATAAATGACTGTCTTCTTACATCCACTTCTCATATTCTTAGTTACTTGGATTACGTTACTTAAAGTAGACGAATAGTGCCACTATTGTGGAGGCAGTGCAGGAACAAGTATTCTTATTAATATTTATCTGTTTATGCATCAATTATTCTGTCAAGAATAGGTTTACTACAAGAATTTAATAATTAAGGAGTCGTATATGCTTGTTTAATTTGTATTGGGCCTGAAAGCCAACTTTTAACCCTGAGCATACATACTTTCTGTGAAGATTAGTTATTAAGTTTTTAATTTAAATAGAGACAATGACTGAGAATGTGAAGGATTAATTTATTGTCACGGTAATCGTCAATCTTTAGTAGCTGTGTAAAACTAGAGCTATGATAAGCTTGAAAAAAAAAAAAAAGCTGACTATAAATTCATTTGATATTTGCAGTCAGTAAGCTGCCTTCTTCACACTGAAGATTGGCAGATCTCCAGAATGACTGACTGACTTTCTACCCCACCAGGACATCACACAAGCGATAAACACCCGATGACACAAAGTGCCACCATGCGGATGAGGATCACCGTGGAGAGGTCCCAGAAACCGCGTTCAGACATTTGGCCATATGTATGACCTGCCTATATTGCGGCCCCTGGCAAAAGCCAGAGTAGGGCTTCAATTGACAAAAAATTTCCTCCTAAAAAGGACGAAACTGGATATAATTACGAGTATCTCCAGAATGCGCAGTCTTTCCATCTATACTCTCCCAGACTGCTGATGTTGTCATCCTAGTTTCATAGTTGTTTGTCTCTTGCTCGCTTGCCTTTAACCTTTACTTCAGTATAGTCTTTCTTATAGCGATGTGCCTGTTATTATGGCAGAAATATTTCACTAGTAGTTAAGTCAAGAATTGACATTACAGTACTCGAGGCATTCCAATGTGCGCACCATCCTCATCTTCAGCAGCCAGCGCAGAGTTCCAGTACTGATGGTACCGATCACAATCCGTTTATATGTTTATCTTGTCTTTCCTCTGAGTGTAGTGAACCAGCCAGACCCTCTGGTTACACCCAGGTTCCTTATTCTCTCCAGACCATAATAATCTTGTTTCTCTACTGATCTATTTCACTAGTAGTGGTAGTAGTAGTGGTAGTAGTAGTAATTGTTCAAAAATACCCTGTTCAACCCTCAGGGTTATAATTGGGATATATATAGTGTGAATTGAGTTTTCACAGTATTTATTTCTCATTTTAACTTTATATATCATGTAATTTTTCATATGACCAAAATGTAATTTGTATTGTTTCACATTTTGCTTAATTTTCAGAAGTATCATGTTTTATTTTCTTTCGCAAATGTCTTTTCATTTATGTTCTCTTCAGAACCACTGTGTGTGTGTGTGTATTTGTTTCTATGATATAAGACCTTTGTTTCTGTTTATCCACATATCCAGGCATTCCTTATTATTTTCTGTTTGATTGTTCAATGTCCAGGTCTCTACACTACACATCAGGGTTGAGTATATATAACATTTGACAGTTATCATTTTTTATGTGTCATCCAAGAGGATATTTTTAGCCAATCTTGTTCTTTTAAATTTTTTTCATTACTGCCATCATCTGTTAACTCATTGAGTCCCAGGGGGTTTAGCATCACAGGCCCAGGGGGTAGTAAAGAAAGTAATAAAATCGGCGCATCATGTGTTCATTGGGCTTCTAGGTATGAACTTATGATGCGTTCCTTGGGACTCAAAGAGTTAATACAATGGTTCTCAACCTTCCTAATGCCACGACTCTTTAATACAATTCATCATGTTGTGGTGACCCCCAACCATAACATGATTTTCCTTGCTGCTTCGTAACTGTAATCTTGCTACTGTTATGAATCATAATGTAAATATCGGATACGCAGGATGTATTTTCATTGTTACAAATTGAACATGATTAAAGCTTAGTGATTAATCACAGAAATAACATGTAATTATTTATTGTGAAATACCTTTTTTTTTAATTGAAACTAAATGACATTTTGTCTTGAAGTATTTTGTAGCATGGGTAACAGTCTTAATGTAACAAAAGTATATACTACATTGCTACATGTTGTAGCATGGGTAACAGTCTTAATGTAACAAAAGTAAACTACATTGCTATATGTTGTAGTATGGGTAACAGTCTTAATGTAACAAAAGTAAACTTCATTGCTACATGTTGTAGCATGGGTAACAGTCTTAATGAAACAAAAGTAAACTACATTGCTATATGTTGTAGTATGGGTAACAGTCTTAATGTAACAAAGGTTAACTACATTGATATATGTTGTAGTATGGGTAACAGTCTTAATGAAACAAAAGTAAACTACATTGCTATATGTTGTAGTATGGGTAACAGTCTTAATGTAACAAAAGTAAACTTCATTGCTATATGTTGTAGTATGGGTAACAGTCTTAATAAAACAAAAGTAAACCACATTGCTACATGTTGTAGCATGGGTAACAGTCTTAATATAACAAAAGTATATACTACATTGCTACATGTTGTGACGGTATGCCTAAAAAGCCAACGCCAGTTGGAAGGTTGACATGTATGACTGATCAGCATAAATACATCATTGTGCCAGGTGCTTGTATGTAGGCGTATCTTCATGTGTGTGGATCCGCCTGGAGACAGAGAGATGAGCAGTGTCTCGGTTCCTAACATTGTCATAATGTACAGAAATATCCCAACAAGATAAACTATGAAGCACAGGTGAAGACCTCAAGTGCACCGTCCTGGTCATGACCATATTGGAGTAGATGCATAGCAAACATTGAAGAAACTGCCATTTGTGTTATTAATTTCTTGTGTGCATTGATAGGTCTGTATGTCTCGCTGCAGTCCTTTTGACCCTGATGGTGTTCATGTGGAGTATAAACACTGTAGGAGTGCCTTTTTGTGTGCTTTATTTGTGAGAGTTCCTAGTGAATTTCTTTTTAACCTGTGAGACAATTTCTGTCTTATCTTTAGTATTTTATTATTTTATTTCCTATGTTGATTCCGGGGCCAAATATATGAGGAAGAAAAAAATAAACAAGCATGTCCTAAAAGTAAAATAAAGAACGTTTCTTTTAAAGTCGAAGTGCATCTGCCTGAAAGGCGAGGAATCAACAATCTGCATATAATAAACAATGTAAAATGGATATGCACATAAAACTCAAATTCTGGAACACAAATACAGTTTAGTAGTGGACAAACAATCAGAACTTTTCGCTGAGGATACATTTGGTGAACGTGAAGAAGAAGAAAAAGAAGAATTTTCATTTTATAAGGTTATATAACTTGACTATGGACTTGTGTTTATTAAATAAAACACACCATCTTGAGGTTTCGAACTCAGCATAACTGGGTTAATAGGTAAAGGTAAAAGCTGCTGTTCCATCTTGTCTCATAATGATTGTAAAATAAATCATCATCATCTGTCCTAGGACCTTTACAAAATGTTGCTCTCATCACAGCACAGTTGAGAGCAACTTGTACCACTACCAGCTTTCCAACCTTGTAAACTTTCATGCTCAGTTTGACCCTGTAAGATAAATATAATGTTGTAATTCTTCTTCTTCTTCGCGTTCACCAGCTGTACACTCTGGCGGAAAGTTATGGTTGCTTGTCCACTACTGAACTGCAGTCCTGCTCCAGAACCTGAGTGTTGTGTGTGCATCAGTTTTACAGATCTTATTCTCTTGAATACGGACTGTTGGTTCCTTGCCTCTCCGGCAAATGCACTCCGACTTCAAAGGAAGCTCCCCAATTAGTCGACTCTTACAACATGCTTTTCAGGAGGCAGTGGGTCTATTCTTGTTTTTCCCACAATGGTGCCCCAGAATCCACACGGGGGATGTTGTAATTAAGAATGGAAGATTTATCTGATTTTTGTGTTCCTTGCAAGTAGTCTTGCCCAACCTGAAGTCATTTACTGTTTCTCATGTTATATGCCATATCTCATATTTTCAGAGCCGTGTAAAATACAGGAATTCAAATGTCATCCAGTTGATAAACATTTGCAGAAATGAGACTCCTACCAAGAAATTTACGAAGGAGACGATCAACCTTATTGTGCTTTCTTTTAGCTGCTATATTGCTCTTAGGCAGTGCACATTATTTAGGAATATTCAAACTTTCGTCTGATCTAACACAGTATTCATTGAGGCATATTCGATATCTTAAGTACCAACAATTAGAACCATATAGGACAGGACCAGGAGAGCAGGGAAATGCATTTTCCTTAGAAGGAGAAGATGAGAAACTTATAGATGACCTGATTAAGAGAGAGGCATTTAACAGAAAAGCTAGTGATAAGATATCACTGGAAAGATCTGTGAAAGATGTTCGTGATAAGAGGTAAGTGTCATACTTTCTTTGGAAAGTGTTTGTTATTTCTGTTCAAGGGCATTAACTTAGTAGTTGTGTAGTAGTATAATATTGACTGGGACGTCGCAGGTCGACCCAGCCTCAAATGGGTACCAGGATGGGCTGTCCTGGGAAAGTAAAGACTGCCGGTGTAATGCTGACCACATTACCCACAGAGTGCCGATTGGTCTGAAAAATATGGGTGCTCTTCCCATATGCCCGATGCGCCTAAGGGCGTGTAAAGGGATCTTTACTTTTACTTTACTATAATATTGACTAAACGATAGGTGATGATCAGATTACTAAGTGTTGTTAATATGTTATATAAAATTATTAACAGACTTCTAATAATCTTGGAAGCAACAGACCCCCTCTTCCCCCCACTTTACAGAGAATTCATATCCAGGTCTCCTACATGAGAACACAGCATTCTAGCCATTTTGCCACCCATACCTTTCATATAAAGGGTCCTTTACCCTTTTCAGTCCTAAGGAACACATCATATGTTCATTAGTTACTACCCAGAAGTCTAGTGAACACAAGAACTGTCGATTACAGGGTTCTCTATACCACTCATGGGCCTTTGATGGTAAATCCCCTAGGACTAAAAGTGTTAATGTGTCAGCAAACGTTTAGTAGGCCCTTTAATCATGTACCATTGTGTAGCTTTAACTAAGTTTTTTTAAGAGATCTTGATGCATTAATTTCAGATGCAAGAGCATCACGTATCCTAAAGTGTTGCCTAAGGCAAGTGTTGTGATTATATTCCATAATGAAGCTTGGTCCGCTCTACTTCGTACGGCACACAGCGTAGTCAACAGGTCCCCACCGGATCTTCTGCATGAAGTGGTTTTGTTGGATGATTTCTCTGACAAAGGTCAGAAGAACTTTTTTGTTTGTTCAAAGTTTTGATGTGAAATGGTGTGTCTGACAGTGTTAAATTAACAATGGTTTTACGGAAAAGAAAAAGCCATGGTTATGAAGTGTGCAGTATTATTGGCTGAGCTCATTCAGCCATTTTGAATGTGACTCTGACAGAGTGCACATGCTCACTAAATGATGTTTAAGGGTCTGACTGGTACAGTGATGTCATCATTGTTCATTATGTTCATGACAAGCCCCTCTCTTAGTTACTGTATATCACATAAACTGCTTTCCTTCATATTTTAATACTTTTATAACTGTATGTTTGTATTTGTTTGGAGTGGAAAAGGAGGGAGAGGGGGGGGGGGTAGGGTCTGTGTGTGTATGTCTGTGTGTGTCTGTGAGAATGTCAAGATATTTATTACATTTTTTAAAATCTATTTGTGGTGTTGACATCATTTAAAAAAAAAATAATTAAGGGTCTGATCTCTGGAGCTTCCAATTTTTCTCTGCTGACTTTTCATGTTTCACTCCCTTCACGGTTGCTTGTGTATATAATATGTTCATGATCCTTCTCTCTCTCTCTTTCTCTCTCTCTCTCTCTCTCTCTCTCTCTCTCTCTCTCTCTCTCTCTCTTCTCTGTCTGTCTGTCTGTCTGTCTGTCTGTCTGTCTGTCTGTCTGTCTGTCTGTCTGTCTGTCTGTCTGTCTGTCTGTCTGTCTGTCTGTCTGTCTGTCTGTCTGTCTGTCTGTCTGTCTGTCTGTCTGTCTGTCTGTCTGTCTGTCTGTCTGTCTGTCTGTCTGTCTGTCTGTCTGTCTGTCTGTCTGTCTCTCTCTCTCTCTCTCTCTCTCTCTCTCTCTCTCTCTCTCTCTCTCTCTCTATACATATATATTAATCAAAATTAATGCAGTTTATAATTATTTCTGATCAGTAATCATAATCAAATAGCTTACAAATGTAACATTGTTGTCAGCAAACTATTCAACAATATGTCTCAAGTTATTATTGATTTATTATTAAAGAAAATAGCACTACAAGCTTGTAGGTATTCTTGTGACAGAGAATATCGCAGTGGTGACAGAACAGATCCATATTTTAAAAATGAAGAAGAGATTGGCAACACAATGTAAACTTCAGCAAAAGCTGCTTAGCAAGACAGTCTGTCATCTAAAGCAGTGTTTCTCAACCTTTTTACACCAGCAGCCCACCAAAACAGGGACATTTGTTTCTCGGCTCATCTGACATCTGACCAAACACAGAAACAAACAAAAAAATGAAAAATGCAGTTTATTTGTTAAATCCAGTGTCACAAAATTACAAATTTCAAGTAATGTGACATCTGCTGCTTATAGGTTAGACAATCAATGCCGACTACATTATATACATGGGTGGAACATTAATTTTGCTGCAATAACATTCTTTTGATTTATATTTTTTTTTAATTTTAATTTTAATTTTTGTGTTTTTGTTTTGTTTTGTTATTTTCATGGCTGAGAACATCTTTTCACACAAATGGGAAGTTAAAAAAAAAAAAAGAAATCACCAACACTCTGATAGCTCTATAACTCAGACAGAGATATTCTTTTTCAAATGATATCTAAAACTCAGACAGTAATTGCAATTTATGTCTCTACACAAGACTGACATCCGAAGACAGCCCAATCAGCTTTTGTTTTTCAAGATAATCAAATGTACGTAAGTTCATATCTTACAAGAAGGGATTATTAATCAAAAGGTTGCCTTTTATGAGGATACTCATTTTCAGGGAAATAATTATCAGTTTTTTAGCTAGTCTTGAAATTTTGACTAGTTATGTTGAATATCACTTTAATTCCCTTTTTTAAGGTGTTAACTCATTCAGTCCCAATCAACTCACTATGCGCTTATTTACTCCTTATGTGAAATGTCTTTTCTAAAGTATTTACTCCCCAGGTAGCTGTTATAATAACCTATGATAATCTAAATGTTACTTTAACCCTTTTGGTGCCTAACTGTGACTAATTTAACCCCTCTGGATATAAATGACTATTACTGTAATAAATAAATGTAATGAGTACTTAGGAATCAATGAGTTAAGAAATCCCTGACTGGGAGTGAAAGAGCTAATCCTACAGACTGCAAACCTATAAGTGAAAAAAAAAACACATTACCTACCCTACCTGGTTACATAATTAAGTGACTCACCCAGACTTTTCGCGGGCCTACCAGTGGACCGTGGCACATGGGTTGAAGAACACTGTTGAGTGTCATCCAGATCCATTGGCTACTCTTTGCTGCATTATTCTTTCCAGACCATGATGATATGTTTGTGCTTCTGCATTGTTCAGTTGCTCCCAAAGAGTTTTGATCATGTATAGCTTGAGCTGTGATAACATAAGGGAACATTTATTGCTTTTTAAGTTTAACTCCTTGAGAGAGTTTGAGACCATCACCTGGCTGAGACAGAAAGAGTTACAATTTAACATTGTACTAAAATATATTAGTTTTTGTTTCTACTTTGCAACTTTTTTCAAAGAGTTAAAATTTAATATCATACTTCTCTTCTTCTTCTTCTCTTCCACCTTGTACCTCATCGAAGTGTCAGGGGAAAATGTAACGTTCGTTGATGAGCTCTGTCAAAAGCACTATTAAGATTGATGTTCATTTCTGTAAGGCTGTTCTTTATGCCATCACTCCATCTTTTCCGAGGTCTTCCCCTCACTCTATAGCTGCTGTAAAGTTTCAGAGTATCCCACTAGGGTACTAGGTACTAGGGCATTTTTGTTAGATGTCCAAACCACTTCATTTGTTGTTTTTTGATGACCTATAAGACTGGCTTTACTCCCAGCATTCGTCTGATTTCATAATTTCGTATTCTGTCTTTCCTTAAAACTCCTGCTGGTGATGAACTGATGTATGGCAAGCTAGATGTTGTGAGGGCCTTCTGGGAGCGAGTGAACAGTGCGGAAGTGCAAATAGATTATTACGATCTGAGGAGAATGGTGCTGCGGGGAGTTACTAGGGGATCTGGCTGATGCTCAACACTCAGGGAAGGGGCGAGATGAATATACAGTCAGACAGTTACTGGTGTCATCAGAATTAGAACTCTTCGTTTGCTACTGAAGATGGAGACAAAACACTTATGGGGTTGCCCCGAGTGCTATGATGTCATTTCTTTATTTAACATTCACTTTAGCACTCCGGAGTATCTGCTTGTGTGTCAACAGGGGAGATAGTTGCCCCAATACTTGATTAGCTTTAGTACATCTCTGCTGCATCATTCTCTCCAGACCATAATAATCTGTTTGTGTCATACTAGAATCAATACATTTGTATCTCTATTTGGCAGACTTTCTCAGAGAGTTATATTTAATGTTAGACTAGATACATTAATAGAGTTCTCAACTTTACAGACTTCCTTAAAGAGAAACTGGAGACCTACATAGCAGAAACCTGGCCAGATGGCATTGTCAAGCTAGTTCGAACAAAAGTAAGGTCTGGTCTAATCAGAGCCAGGATAGCTGGGGCAAACGCTGCAAGTGGAGATGTTCTCATTTTCTTGGACTCTCATTGTGAAGCCACTACAGGATGGTAAGGAAAGCACGTTATAAAATATAAAAAATATCCTTTTTAACTCTTGAAAGTTTGATGGCCAGTAATTTAAGTTGCTTCCGTGTCTTGATGTTGAGGGTATGAGGAACTGGTATTTCCAGACATATATAATTGAAGCCCATATTTAGATTGAGGATTTCAAGTATTTATGATTGGAGCCGGTATTCAGTGCAGACATTTCTATTGATAGCAGGCTGATATGTGGGGGTTATATGCTCAAGTGTTCATAAATAAAAGCTGGCGTTTAGTATTGGAATTTCTAAGTATTCGTGATTAGGGGCCAGTATGTAGTTTTGACATTTTCAGATTTTTATGTTTGTCCAGTATTTTGTCCTATTTCTAAGTGTTCTTGACTGGAGGCCAGTATTTTAATCAAGTATTTAATATTGAAATTTCTGAGTAATTATGATTGGAAGCCATTATTTAGTATTTATATTGCTAAATTTATGACTGAAGGTCTTTCCAGGCATATACCCCTCCATTATTGTTCTCTCTAAACTTTCTTGAACTTTCAAGTGACCAAAACATTTCAATTGTTTGTATTTTATTGTCTTTAATAGCCAACCTTCTTCACTATTCAGTTCTTGAAGTATGGATGCTTTTTTTCCTTTCTTTACCCATGATATTCTTAGAACCCATCTATAACATTTGTATTCAAATTCATTTCTGCGCTGTTCAGATTGTTTAGTGAGTGTCCAGGTCTCACAGGCATATGTTGCAATGGAAACAATGCATCCTCTTAGAAATCTAATTTTTTTAGTTCTGTCTGTCCCACTCTATAATTTATTCAGTTGTTTTAGTCTTTGAAGAGCAATTGACAGTCGTTGTTTAATTTCTTTCATTATATCACCATATGACCTACAAGTTTTGACAACATTGTAAATCTGTAATGGGCTTGGAATAGTACCTTGATCACAAGGCTGAAGTTTTGATTTAGAATTAACTGGCAGAAACAAAAGTTCTTTTGCTTTTTAAAGTATTAGTTCTTGTGTGGGCTGAACTATTGTCAACAATTAAAAGAACTTTTCTTTGTTTACGCATCACTGAGGAATCAGATTCTTATAGGCGCTCATTGAAAAGTTCAGTTGTCATCAGGCTCTGTAGTTCACACATAACCTTTCAAGCCTTTACAAAATTTTCAGTCATGTAAAAAGGCCATTTTTCATTGCCATCCATATTGCAACACGCAACCACTCTCATTCTTTCTTTTGATTTTTTTCCTACCATGGCACTTTTCATTTTTGCAAGATAATTTTTGACAGAAAATGTTTTTTCAGGTAACGGTCTCCAAATTACGCCAGTCTTATCAGATTTTGACTTAAATGGACTCGACTGAATTGATCAGCACTAATATGAAGAGGTAGAGAGATGAAAGGATATACTAGACAACCTACAAATTGAAGAACTATAGTTACCATGCTGGGAATTGAAACTGTCACCTCCAAATGATGAAAGCGCCTCACTGCAGGAGGAAGTGTACTTCTACACAAGACCAACTTATCAGTCAGCAGGTCCCAAGTTATGCTAACCCGGACAAATTTTTGCAGAAGTCAGATGTTTCAGCCAAAAGGTGCAAATATCACATCTATGTTATGTGAACAGACACAACAAATTTATGCCTTCAGATGGACACAGAAGAAAAAGAATCAACAGGTTCTTTACAGAACATGACAGCACGCCTGAATGTCTTTCTGTCTCTAGACATTTATCCAGCCCTATGTGCTTTCATATCTAGGGCTTCTTCATTGTCTTGTCATGACCAACTGGACATATCTAATGGGTGAATAAAGGGCAGCCTAGTACTATGGAGCACAATGGCTTGAAGATATGGCATCTGTTTCTTTTATCTATTTATTTGTGAGTACAAAAGTAATGTTTGTCGGCTCTGTGGCTAAGTCGATGTGAACGCTTCCTAATGCCTTGATGCCGGGTTCAATCCCAGCTGCGGGCCATGCGCCTTGCGTTGGTTTCGACAGTGGTATCAAGAAAGCCGACCGTCCAGAAAGCAATGGCAAACGACTGGACGTAAATTTGCCTAGAAAAACCACACAACAGCCAGGGATTGTTGAGGTAGGTTCTGCAACGTCCTGTAAAGAATATGCAATTAACCTTTAAAGTAATGTTTATTTTGAAATTTTTTTTAAAAGGATTGAACCATTGCTAAGTCGAATTAATGAAGATCGGCGGGTTGTGGTGTGCCCTAGTATTGATGCCATAGATGCAAAAACATTGGAATATTCAAGCAATGGTGGATATCAAATTGGCGGCTTTTCATGGAGCTTGCATTTTACCTGGCAGGATGGTTCACCCAGACCTCTAGAGAGTTCGAACTACACCAAACCAATATCGTAAGCACTTATTCTATTTGTCTTACATCAAAGTAAATTCTAGTTAAAGTTAAGGTCGAGAGACTCGACTTTATTGAGTTTTATTCCTTATGTCTTAGTCTCTGTGTGTGTGTGGAGAGTGTGGATGTACATGTGTGTGTATGTGTGGGTATGCGTGGGTATGTATGTGTATATATATGATTGTGTGTGTGAGTGTGTCTTTGTCTAAAAATGAGAGTGTGTTAGTTCAAGTTAAAAGTTAAAGTCAAGAAGATCCACTTCACTGCACCGGGTTTTATCCCATATGGCTCAGTCTGTCTCTGCAGAATGGTTAGCTGCCTGCCTCGAGCATCGCACAGAGCACAAACTCCATAGCTCCAGTGATGATTCCCAGGGATCTCTGTAAAAATTGCACTCATGAACTGAATGGTGTCACCGTAAAACGAACCTATGACCTTCAGAGCGTGAGGCAAACGGCTTGACCACTTGTCATGGAGACCACCAATATTTGTATGTATGTACATGTGTACATGTTTAAGTGTGTGCATATAAAAAAAAAAAACCGTTCACATTTTTGGGTAGCATTAAAAGACGTAACTTCAAAATTGTTCAGATCAAATGGGAGGAAAAAGTTGAAGGCAAGAGTGCAATGGATAAATAATAATACAAGTGAGAAAACAACATCAAGAGATGGATGAACAACAATCTGAGAGAGAGAGAGAGAGATAGAGAGAGAGAGAGAGAGAAAGAGAGAGTGAGTACTACTAGGACAAAAGACAGTATGTTGTAGATCCATTGCAGCCAATCTTTATTATGAAGACAGCCTCTGATTGATTGATTGATTAGTTAATAAACTATTTTTAGTTTTCAAAGCATTGTTTATATATACAATGTTTGCCTAACAAATAAGCCTGTATACTTTACAGCTGTTTATTCATGTCACAATAAGCAGCCGCTAAGAATATATGCCTCGCATGGTATTGATTGCTAGCTCTCTTTATGGCTAAGATGTGAGCAGTATCATAGATTGCCTTTCTTTCTCCATTGACAAAGAAATACAGAATTCTATTGTTATCTGAAAGTGATTGCAGAGGTGAAAATCAATAACTGCATTCTCCATTTACTTTTGCCTGAATGGGTATATGGGAAAATTTGTATTTCTTTTTTTGTAGCATTTTGTTTGTTGTTTGTATGTTTTGGAGGTAAAGGGAAGTAGACGGCGTTGAAAAAGCGTTGGGTTTTCAATTGTTACTATTGATTTTATAGTCTTTTGTTAAAATTTGAAGGGAAACAATTTAGAGTGTAGCTTTTATGTAATTACAGGTAATATTGATTCATAATATGATCGATATGTAATGCAGCAGGTTTGCTTAGAGACAAAAACAGCTAGCTGGAATAGCCTGAAACCACTGATCTGTTCTTCTTCTTTTACTGATATTATGTATTTTTGCTTTATGAACATAACATGCTTTATAGATAAAAGTACAGTCAGTGTGTGGGAGTGTTAGGAAAGAGCCGAATGTAAGATGCTCAGTTTCGTGACCCTTTCAAAATAAAGTTTGTTTTGTTTGTTCATTCTTCGACTTAGCCCCTAAAATGGCAGTTTGCACTTGGTAGTTTACAGCAAGGCTGCATTATCTGCGCATTTTGGTCTATCACATCCAGTTTCAATTAAACCTTCTTTTATGACACGCATTGTAAGGGAGCAGTAGGTCTGTTATTTTTCGCACACAATGGTGCCCAGGAACCCACACAATGGTTGCCCAGGAACCACACAATGGTGCCCAGGAACCACACAATGGTGCCCAGGAACCCACACAATGGTGCCCAGGAACCAGACAATGGTGCCCAGGAACCCACACAATGGTGCCCAGGAACCACACAATGGTGCCCAGGAACCACACAATGGTGCCCAGGAACCACACAATGGTGCCCAGGAACCACACAGTGGTGCCCAGGAACCCACACAATGGTGCCCAGGAACCACACAATGGTGCCCAGGAACCACACAATGGTGCCCAGGAACCCACACAATGGTGCCCAGGAACCACACAATGGTGCCCAGGAACCCACACAATGGTGCCCAGGAACCACACAATGGTGCCCAGGAACCACACAATGGTGCCCAGGAACCACACACATGGTGCCCAGGAACCCACACAATGGTGCCCAGGAACCCACACAGGAAAAGACTGCTGCCATTTTACTGCCATTACTGCCCATATTTCTCACTTTTGCTGTGTAGGCAGCGGGGTATTTGAGCCTGAGGATTTACTGCTAGTGCTGCCACCATGGATTGTGCAGGTTAGGATTTGATTTTTGCCCCTCGTCAGAAAAGAATCCACAATGTGAATTAGGATTTGAACCCAGGTCGGCTGCTTGAGAGCCTAGCATTCAGAATGTTTGCCGCCCGCTCCTCATGGGAAAACACTACTCATCTTAAAATCAGAAACAAGAAGTTGTAAACATACACTAAAAATGGTCTCAAAAATTGTTAGGTACTGAAATGGAACCACAAGGCATAGTTGTTAGTGCTTCTGCCTAATGAGGCAGTAGTCTGAGTTCACTATATGAGTTCCAAGGCCCTGCTATGGGAGGAAAAAAAAAGAATAGACCCATTGCCTCCTTAACAAGCATGTCATACAAGGTGACTAATTAGGAAGTTTTCTTTAAAGTTAGAGTGCATCTGCCTGAGAAGTAAGGAACCAACAATCTGCATAGACATAAGCCAGATCAGTAAAACATATAGGCACTCAAAATCATAAACATCAACACCCACACGCTAATACTCCAGGGCATAAAAACTGGCACACTCATACTGGAGGGCATACAAATCCACACACTCATTCTAAAGAAGATAAAAAACACCAAAATACTCATACTGTAGGACATTAACACCCCATACTTGTACTACAGTGCTTAGAAACCCACACACCATATAAAAACCCATATACTCATATTGCAAGACTTACGCATAAGTAGAAAGATTCCAGAGGCACTAGTGGCAGCACTTACATCTAGCGAGTTAGAGTTAGCAATATCAAAGCTGAGAATGGGAAAATCACCTGGAATTGATGGAATCACCAACGAAATGATCAAGAACCTTGAAACAACTGCCAAAATAAAGCTTCTACAGATCTTTAATCATTGTTGGACCAGTGGCAAAGTTCCCCAGATATGGAGAGAAGCAATTACAGTACCTCTACTTAAACCAGGTAAGGACAGTTCCGATGCCTCCAGCTATAGACAGATCAGTCTTACCAGCTGCCTCAGTAAAACAATGGAACGTATTGTCAACCTTAGACTCCATTGGTACTTGGAAAGTTAAAACATTATCATGCCGCATGTGCTACTCCACAGAAGATCAAACAACTTACCTTTCGCAAGAAATTGAGGATGCCTTCAAGGAAAAGAAGCTAGTGCTAATGGCATGGATAGATCTAAAGAAAGCCTTTGACAAGGTCTGGAAAGAAGGTCTACTAAAGAAACTGAGAGACTGCAGGGTGAATGGGAGTATGTACAAATGGGTGAAAGCATACTTGTATAACAGAAGATCTCGAGTACATATAGATGGACTTAAGAGTAAGAAAGTTTTGCTGCGCCATGGCGTCCCACAAGGAGGTGTCCTGTCCCCACACACTCTTTCTAGTCTATATCAATGACCTGCTTTTTGAACTACCCCATGGAATTAAAGCTGCAATGTATGCTGATGACTTGGTACTCTGGTGTACAAATGAACATGCAACAGTGGCCACCAGACTGCTACAAAGAGCTATAGATACAATGGCTGAATGGACCAAAAAATAGTGTGTCAGCATCAACATAGACAAATGCAGCACCACCTTCTTTACCCTCTCCCCAAAACCAAAAGTCAGGCGTCATGCACATAAATGGAGTACCCCTGAGAGAGAGGATAAGGAGCTCACATACCTTGGAGTAACGTTTGATGATAGGTTAACATGGAGAAAACATATAAACAAGGCAACAACGAAAGCCAGAAGGAGGGTAGCCATTCTGAGAAAACTAAGTGGAACCACATGGGGTGCTAGCGGGAAAATACTTAGGAAAGTTTACCAACAAAGTGTTCGACCACATCTTGAATACGGACCAACAGCATGGAGTATGAAATCAACACCTATAGTTGTGATGGAGAAAATGGAGATGACCCAAGCACTGAGTGAACGCAGAGACACCAAGATGCTTTTACAAGCAGAAAAGTTTCTTAGTATGCCCAGTCACCCTATGAATGAAAGATTCAAAAATTTAGCTTTGGGAGGACTAAAGAGAAGTAGTTTTATCCACCAGGCCAAACGGCTCTGCAGACAAACCACTGATTTGCCTGCAACTGATAGATCCTTAAATGCTGTCCCAGAACGGACCCCTGGAGAGAGGAGTATAAGTTTCCAATACACATCAAGACAAAAGTGAAAGGAGTATTTGACAAGGAAGAACAAAACAGTGTGCAGCGCAAAACAACCACCCTCAGTCTACTTGATGATGAATACCCACAGAATCTTTGGGTCCGTGTTTACACAGATGGGTCAGCAGAAAGTGCAGTCAGAAACGGAGGTGCAGGAGTGTACATTGAGTATCCTAATAATACCAGGGATACAGCCAAAATACCAACAGGAAAGCACTGTCACAACTATGATGCATAAGTTCAAGCCATCAAGATAGCGGTAGAGAAACTACTCAATACAGGGTATTTTTCACAACCAGTGGTATTCCTGACAGATGCAAAAACGGTACTTCAGCACTCCAGTCTGGAAAATTATCAAGCATACGGACACTTTTATCTGAACTAGGCAACCGTCATAAATTAGTAATGCAGTGGATACCTTCCCACTGTGGAGTTCCCGGAAACGAAAGAGCTGATAAACTAGCTAAGGAAGGTGCAACTGAAGAATAACCCGACATACCAGTCTCTTATCAACAGAAGAAGAGAATGGTCAAATCAATCAGAATGCCACCGAAACTGGCACAAGACGATTACCATATTATGAACAGACCAGAGCAAGTCATTATCCTTCGCCTTAGAACAGGGCATAATCGACTTCGCTGCCACATGTACAACAAATTTAAGATCGGCCAATCAGCCATGTGTACCTGTGGACTGGCACCTGAGACAACAGATCACATCCTCCAAGACTGTCCCAGATTCAACGCTTCCAGGCAAAACTTCTGGCCAAAAGAGACACTTGTGGAAGTCAAACTTTACGGGCCGCTTAGTGAATTACAAAAGACAGTGAAATTCATACTAGAGACAGCATTGCAGATATAGATAATTTATTTCATGCGAACGAAAGAAGAAGAAGTAGTAAGATGTTTTGTCCCAATTTGATTAGATAGTCTGTTAGCACTGAAGTGTGTGTTTCCTGTTTATTATTTTGATACGATATAATTTATGTATATTTCATTGTTTGTCTTTAAGGTCCCCTACAATGGCTGGAGGATTGTTTGCTGTGGATCGCAAATACTTTTTTGAAGTTGGTGCTTATGATCCTGGCATGGATGTCTGGGGTGGGGAAAACCTTGAGCTTTCATTCAGAGTAAGGTTGTTTGTGAATGATTTGAATGAATGAATGATGCAAGCAGTCAGGCGATTGTCAATGATTTGAATGAATGAATGATGCAAGCAGTCAGTTAGGCGATTGTCAATGATTTGAATAAATGATGCAAGCAGTCAGTTAGGCGATTGTCAATGATTTGAATGAATGATGCAAGCAGTCAGTTAGGCGATTGTCAATGATTTGAATGAATGAATGATGCTAGCAGTCAGTTAGGTAATTGTCAATGATTTGATTGAATGATGCAAGCAGTCAGTCAGATGATTGTCAATGATTTGAATGAATGATGCAAGCAGTCAGTTAGGTGATTGTCAATGATTTGAATGAATGAATGATGCTAGCAGTCAGTTAGGTGATTGTCAATGATTTGAATGAATGATGCAAGCAGTCAGTCAGATGATTGTCAATGATTTGAATGAATGATGCAAGCAGTCAGTCAGATGATTGTCAATGATTTGAATGAATGATGCAAGCAGTCAGTTAGGTGATTGTCAATGATTTGAATGAATGAATGATGCTAGCAGTCAGTTAGGTGATTGTCAATGATTTGAATGAATGATGCAAGCAGTCAGTTAGGCGATTGTCAGTGATTTGAATGAATGAATGATGCAAGCAGTCAGTTAGGTCTTAAATGTTCTCTCCTCAGTAGACAACAGCACAGCATATGTAGCAGAGTGTCCTTTCTGACTGATGCTGTGTCAGTTCTACAAGCAATTGTTAACCCAAAAGACATGCAGTTTGTAGACGTGATGCAACCGCTGGTACAGTTAGGCTCTTCAATAGAAAAATCTATCCTGCAGTGGATACAGGGTCACTGTGTCTTGGAAGGCAATGAAATTGTGGACAGACTCACCAGAAGTGGGGGCGATATGATGCGATTAAGTAGTGACTTAACTCACCAAGAGACTAAGACATTACTACAGTCTAGTATCCAAGAAAGGTTGCTGGATATATCGTTTCATTGCCTCTCTAGAAAGGAACAGTGTGTTATATACAAAAAAATATACAGGCATAACAGACAGTGCCAACATAATTTCAAATTTATCGGTATAGAAAACATGGAGATGTGTCCCTGCAAACTTGACACAATAAAATGCTGAGCATATGCTCAAACACTGTCAACTGTATGCTGCCAACACAGAAGCAATTTGGCTTATTCAGACCTCAAAAAAAGCTGTATGGTACACAATGAGATTTGGAGGGCATGATAGCTTTCATAAAGGCTACCGGCCTCCTAATATAAGTTTTCTGACAGAAAAAGAAGAAGAAAAAATGCAGATTAAAAAATTAAAAAAACCAGCCTTAAATGAGTACCAGGTAATGTCCTGGGAAGTAAAGGTACCATGATGTTGACCACATCACCCACTGCATTCTGATTGTCCTTATATGCCAGATGCGCCACTGACGTAAAAATAGGGCCTTATTTTTTTTGTCAGCTTTACATAACTCTTTCAATCCCAGGAAAGTTCCCATTTAACTCATTATATTGTCAGAAATTGTTGTTTGAATTAATAGATTTTTTGACAAATTATTCTTCTTCTTCACGTTTATCAGCTGTAAATTCCTGTGGAAAGTTCTGATTGTTCGTCCACTTCTGGACTTTAGTCTTGTTAAAGAAATTTTGTTTTACAGATTTGAGATTTGAGTGTGCACATTTGTTTTGAGGTTATGGCTTATTTTTATGCAGATTGTTTTTTCCTTGCACATCAGGCAGATATATTCCTACTTAGAAGGAAACCCCTAATTAGTTGACACTTATGACATGCTTGCTAGGGAGGCAGTGAGTCTGCTCTTGTTTTTTCCCACAGTAGGACCCTGAAACTCACAATTGTGAGGGGGGGGGGGATATTATAGCACATGAGGCGGAAGCAGATAAAGTGATAACTGGGACAGTCTAATACCTAGACAGGGTACAAAGATTTGAGCAAAGTGGATCATGTCAGTAGTGTGGATTCCAGGTTTCCATTTTGGAGAACTAAGAATTGAGCCCTAACAAGAAGGCTACTAATTAAGGGTGTTTCCTCAAAAGTCTGACTGCCTCTGCTGATAGGCAAGGAACCAACAGCCTGCATACAAATAAGTCAGGTCTGTAAAACTATTGTTCATTCAAAACTCAAGTTCTGAATTAAGATCAGAGTCCAGGAGTAGACAAACAACCAGAACTTTCTGTTGGAATTTACAGCCAGTGAATGCTTGAAAAAAGTCTTGTAGTCTTTAGTCAAAGTTCCAACATTGCCCAGACAGGTCACCCCCATTACAGCTCCATTTTGGTGCCAGTAGAAATCACACAAAAATGTACTTCAGTGTACACTTTAAAATCTAATTAAAAATGTGTCAGTCTCCCAGCACAGTCTTGAGCTTGCACAGGCATCCTGTGTCCTGTAGGCAGAAAATAACACACTAATGGCGCGTTTCTCGGTAGTGAAAGAGTAACAATTGTATGCACTATGCCTGAAATATTCTTGAATTAACTTATAAAGTGTATTATGGTTTGTCTTTAGGTGTGGATGTGCGGTGGTAAGCTGGAGTTTGTGCCGTGTTCCCGAGTTGGTCATATTTTTCGAGCGAGTCACCCATACACATTTCCAGGTGAAAAGACTTTATGTATAAGAAAATTTAACTATAGCCTTTAATATTTTTCTCACACTTGTACATTTATTTTCTTTCATTTAAAAATTTTTTTTTTAAAGATATTGATTAATTTGTGATTATTTTTTTTCTAAAAAGACATTCTTACTCACTGCACTTTGTTACACCCTGACATACATACATACATACATAAACATCTTGCCATATATGATATATATATATATATCCTGTATCTTCGTTGTCGGTCGGTATGCCCCTCCTTCCTATATATATCTGCTATATATATATATATATGATAAATATATATATATATATATATATATATATATATATATATATATCTATAAGATATACATAATTCCTATGTATAAATACATATAGGACGTGCACACTCACATGTATACACAGGGACTTTGCTCTCAAAATTCTAATTTTATCTGCAACTCATTGTATGTACATGATTACAAAGACTTTGTGCTATGAAGAGGATCGCTGTGGCTCTTATGCTTGCCTATAGCACAAGGGAACACTGTCATTTGGAAACATTAAAAGGTCCCAAGAACAAAAAATGATATAGCTAAAGTATATTTTGGAAACATTTCTCATTTAAAAAACAATTGTATAGTTACTTATGCTCTGTGTGTATGTGTGTATGTATATATGTATGTGGGTGTGTGAGCTTGCGCACATTGAGTCAAAATAGTAACTACGCACATTGAGTCAAAGTAGTAACTATCCATATTTCACTTCTGTAAACAAGGTAACAAAGACACACATGGGATCAACTCAGTCCGCCTAGCAGAAGTTTGGATGGATGAATATAAAAGACTTTTTTACATGCATCGTAGAGATTTACTGGTAAGTAAAAACATTACAACAATAAACTGTATAAAAACTATTTAGACACCATGTTGTGTGTACAAGCAATTTTGGCTCAGATATTGTTGATGTGGGTAGGTAGGTAGTTGTACCCCACCAGGACATCACACAAGCGATAAACACCCGGTGACACAAAGTGCCACCATGCGGATGAGGATCACCCGTGGAGAGGTCCCAGAAACCTCTTTCAGTCATTAGGCCATATCTATGCCCTGGCTATATTCAGGGCCCCTAGCAGAAGCCAGGGTGGGGCTTCAAATAAAAAAAAAAAATTGCATCCCACAAGGGGACGACTAGTGTTAAATCTTGATGTGAGTTAGTATTCTTCTTCTGCATTCATCAAAAGATGTAATTGCGTTGTGTCCGTTTACAACATGGCTGCGATATTTGCGCCTTTCGGCCGACACATCCGACATTCTGCAGGCATTTTTTAAAACCAGGTTAGCCTTCCTGGTTAGTGTTGTTAGACATTACAATCTTATATTGTGTGGTCGTCTTTGTTTCAAGGTCTCAGGTGGTGCCCCACATTAGGCCGGTCGAGAGAAGCCACATAATGCTGATTACCTCTCAGGAGAAGGCAGAGGCGGAACATGAGCATTCCAAGGAGGCTTCCATAAATGTCAATACATGGTGCTCTGGTACTAGGCTTACCTAAGGAATCGTCACGTTCTGCTCATGTCTGTTTAACCTCACTTCCATATATTGAGCATCTTATTCATCATGGCTATGTCTCTAGCAGCCTGTTGGGATTTCAATTACCTACACAAAATGAGTACTTTGCTTCTTTTGCATGTTAGACTTTTACTGCTGTGGATTTGCTGTGGTTTTATATAACATTTTCCACATGGATGCCTAGAGACATCCAATGTGGCGGTATACAGACAGATGAGTTTGTTTTATTTTCTTCCCATGTCATAGTTTAACAACTCTGCTTTTCTAGGAGCTATCAGCTCCCAAAATCCCTGAGAGTTTTCTTCTTATTTATACCTTCAGACATCAGTGTTAATATCAGTCAGTATTCTAGAATTAATCTTATACATATATGATGGAACTTTCAAAAGGTTTTATAATCATTGCTTTTACATGTAGCATAACACAGTACAGCCACTTGCCATTAAAAATGAAGCGTGGATGCACACTTGTGCACAACCCAGGCTAACAAGACCTTTCTTCATTTTCATTTGGGCCATCCTGGACAGATACTAGAGAGGCTAAGAAACAGGATTTAAGTGTCTTCTTTCCGAGAATCTTCTTCTTCTTCCTGTTCACTGGCTGTACACTCAGGTGGAGCATTTTGGGTATTCATCCACATCTTGACTTTTAGTCTAGTTCCAGAACCTAATTTTGTGTACATCCATTTCACACATCTGGCTCATTTGAAGGACTGAAATAGACAGTGTGGTAGATCTTCAGTTAAATTTAAATGTTTTTAAAAATTTTCTTTAGTAACCAGATTTTTTAAAAGTGCATTTCTTACTTTCTCCTGCCGCATCTGCCTACAAACGGTGGTTAGCACTTTATTTTGTGGTTTACAGCTAGGCTTCATTATCTGCATCTTTGGGTCCAACACATCCAGTTTCATCAGACTGCTAATTAATCACCTTTTATAATATGCTCATTAGAAGGTAGTGGGTGGGAAATACAATAACCAGTGATTTCAGTATCTGACAAATGTTACTTTAATTCATTATAACCTAATCATTTGTTACCTAAAATATATAATGTCTAGGTTTCAACAGGTTCAAATAATAACTTTAAAATACAAAAATCAAAAAGTGGTAAAGCAAAAAAAAAAAAAAAGGACAGAATGAGTTAATATAACAGCTGGTTGAATAACAGAAAGGAAGGAAAAGCATGTAATTACAAGTAACAGGTAAACGCTTTGTGTGTTGCTTGGTGCTGAACGAGTTAATGCATTTTGAAAACATCGTTGTTTCTCCTTCCTGTAAAATTATTTTTGCATCGAAAATTTGCAAAATTATTCTGATCATAGTTGAACTTTTATTGAAGTTTATATGTTAAATAATTGATTAATTTGTTTCCTTGTTAGAACACAGACTTTGGAGACATCACAGAAAGGAAACGATTGAGAGAAAAATTAAAATGCAAAAATTTCAAGTGGTATCTGGACAATGTTTATCCACAAAAGTTTATTATTGATGAGAATGTGAAAGCATGGGGAATGGTAAGTTTTTAACAGTTTTTAGCCATGTTCTTAGTAGTTAACATAGAAGCAGAAGGCATTCTTCTTTTAGGAATTGTGTTAAAAATGTCACTAGTAGAGAAGAAAATAAGCTGCAAGTTTTAAAGCATTACTTCTGAAAGTCATTAGGAAAAGACAAATGAAAAAATGGGGCATGCCAACAGAAAAGTACTGCTCAAACAATCCACCAGTGTATTTCAAACTAATAAGATTGTTCTTAGATGTCCAGGCAAATTTGTGTGTGGGTAAAATGAAAGTTAATTTATGTTATACTCACAAAAACTGCAAAAACAAAAGAGCTGAATTGGAGTATACCACAAGGTAAACCAACAAAATGGTGGAGAGATAATATACAAACATACCTACAAACACTCAGGGTTGCTTACTGGTCTGTCACAGAGTTGAATGGAAGCAGGTGATATCTGCAATAATAAATCTCAGATAGTCTGCAATGCTGCAAATGATGAAAAAGAAGTAAAATACAAAATATAATTTTTTTTTAAAAACCTGGCAGAATACCAACAGTGCATCTACCTAGAAGAGTTATTTATAATTATGATACTTATGAAATATTTGTTGCCTTGTGTGTATTTGTGTGTGTATGTTTGTGTGTGTGTGTGCATTATTTCTTGTTGTAAGTTATTGCTTCATGGGTTTTAGTTCATTTTAATGTCATTTACCTCCCCTCATTTTTGTTTTCTTCCGTCTTTGTTTTGTATTATTGCATTTCGGGGGAAAAGAATAGACCCAATGCCTCCCTTAGAAGCATGACATTAGTGGTGACTACCTATAGGTGTGTTGAAGTTGGATGTGTTGGACAGAAAAGTATGAATATCACAGCTCAGCAGTAAACCACAACACAGCATAACAACCGCCCTTTTAAAGATGAACGCAGAAGAAGAAATTTGATAATTGCTTTTTTCAGTCTGAAAAATGCATGAGATAGTGTGTGAAAGTCAAGAACACTTTTCCATGCCTTCATGCACGTTTGGCATATGATGCTAGACCCATATCTTACAGACCAGTTAGTACTCGGTGGGTGATATGGTCCACTGCACGTCACGCACCTTTACTTCTTAGAACCTTAGCTGGTACAAATTGAAACCTGGATCGGCCTGGGAGCCAAGATCATTTGTTTAAGAAGAAAAAAATCAGCATGACTTATGGTTAAATTAGATTAAAGTGTTGAAGAACTTTCCAGCATTAACCTAATTCAGTTTGACTCTGTAAGAAGGTGTAGAGAGGATTGAACCACAAAGTAAACAGAGTGATTGTAAAGAAAAGCTCTGAAACTTGGTGAAAGGTAAAGGTAGTCCCATAACAGATGATGTGTGGTGTACCAGGCCTAGACACTTTCTAGATTAGTGGTTTTCAAACTTTTTAAGGTCCCCCCCCCTCCTTCCCCTCAATGCCCTTCGAAAATGTGAATATAAAGAGGAGGACAAAAGGGGAAAACTTCCAAACACCGTAAACAAGAACTTGGAGAGAAACATCCACATAACTCACAGTGTCAAATTACACAAAATAAACACTTATCAACAACTGATGTTTTAGTGTCCAAATATGAGTGTGAAGGTTCACACACACACACACACACACACAAAGTCTGCCAGAAAAATCCTTACCCACAAAAGACTCCAGGTTACACCAGGCGTGAATGACCATAATGGAGACCCTATTTATAACAACTTTGGAGGTGGAACAAGGTATATGGGATATGTCCTGTTGGCATGCCATGCAGATTGAGATTTTGTTATCTCACGGTGGTCAGAACATTGTTAACAGCCCAGAAGGGGAAAATAGAAGGAAGGAAGAAATCAGCGACTTTTGAGGATTGAATCCAGACCACTCTCTCAGCAGGCAAACAGACTAACCACTATGCCACCATGGCTCAGCTTGCTATTGCAGTAGTATTAGTGGACATGAAACTATATCTGTACGGCATATTTATTTTCTCAGGTGAGAAATACCAATTCAAGTATGTGCTTAGACACCTTACAGAAGGATGAAAGTACAGTCTTTGAAATGGGATTATTTTCCTGCCAAAATGGAGGCAGTTCAAGTCAGGTAAAATTTCTTTTCACATGAAAGGTTAATTATAATTTTGTTATTCATACATTTTTCATTGTTACTGCTAGAACTAGCTAAACACTATCTGATCCAGCAAGTCTTTAATTGCTGCTGGAACTAGCTAAACACTGTCTGATCCAGCAAGTCTTTCATCATTGCTGCTGGAACTAGCTAAACATTGTCTGATCTAGCAGGTCTTTCATCATTGCTGCTGGAACTAGCTAAACACTGTCTGATCCAGCAAGTCTTTCATCATCACTGCTGGAACTAGCTAAACATTGTCTGATCTAGCAGGTCTTTCATCATTGCTGCTGGAACTAGCTAAACACTGTCTGATATTGCAAGTCTGTCATCATTGCTGCTGGAACTAGCTAAACATTGTCTGTTCTAGCAGGTCTGTCATCATCGCTGCTGGAACTAGCTAAACACTGTCTGATCTAGCAGGTCTTTCATCATCACTGCTGGAACTAGCTAAACACTGTCTGATCCAGCAAGTCTTTCATCATCACTGCTGGAACTAGCTAAACATTGTCTGATCTGGCAAGTCTGTCATCATTGCTGCTGGAACTAGCTAAACATTGTCTGATCTAGCAGGTCTGTTATCATCGCTGCTGGAACTAGCTAAACATTGTCTGATCTAGCAGGTCTGTCATCATCGCTGCTGGAACTAGCTAAACACTGTCCGATCTAGCAGGTCTTTCATCATCACTGCTGGAACTAGCTAAACACTGTCTGATCCAGCAAGTCTTTCATCATCACTGCTGGAACTAGCTAAACATTGTCTGATCTAGCAAGTCTGTCATCATTGCTGCTGGAACTAGCTAAACATTGTCTGATCTAGCAGGTCTGTTATCATCGCTGCTGGAACTAGCTAAACACTGTCTGATCTAGCATGTCTTTCATCATCACTGCTGGAACTAGCTAAACACTGTCTGATCTAGCAGGTCTCTCATCATCGCTGCTGGAACTAGCTAAACATTGTCTGATCCAGCAAGTCTTTCATCATCGCTGCTAGAACTAGCTAAACACTGTCTGATCTAGCAAGTCTGTCATCATTGCTGCTGAAACTAGCTAAACACTGTCTGTTCTAGCAGGTCTTTCATCATCGCTGCTGGAACTAGCTAAACACTGTCTGATCTAGCAGGTCTTTCATCATCGCTGCTGGAACTAGCTAAACATTGTCTGATCTAGCAAGTCTTTCATCATTGCTGCTGGAACTAGCTAAACACTGTCTGATATAGCAAGTCTTTCATCATTGCTGCTGGAACTAGCTAAACATTGTCTGATCTAGCAGGTCTGTCATCATTGCTGCTGGAACTAGCTAAACACTGTCTGATCAGCAAGTCTTTCATCATTGCTGCTGGAACTAGCTTAATCTTGTCTGATCCAGCAGGTCTTTCATCATTGCTGCTGAAACTAGCTAAAAACTGTCTGATCTAGCAAGTCTTTCATCATTGCTGCTGGAACTAGCTTAACATTGTCTGATCCAGCAAGTCTTTCATCATTGCTGCTGGAACTAGCTAAACATTGTCTGATCTAGCAAGTCTTTCATCATTGCTGCTGGAACTAGCTAAACACTGTCTGATCCAGCAAGTCTGTCATTATTGCTGCTGGAACTAGCTAAACATTGTCTGATCTAGCAGGTCTGTTACCATCACTGCTGGAACTAGCTAAACACTGTCTGATCCAGCAGTTCTTTCATCATTGCTGCTGGAACTAGCTAAACACTGTCTGATCTAGCAAGTCTTTCATCATTGCTGCTGGAACTAGCTATACATTGTCTGATCTAGCAAGTCTTTCATCATCACTGCTGGATCTAGCTTAACATTGTCTGATCCAGCAAGTCTTTCATCATTGCCCCTAGAACTAGCTAAACACTGACTGATCCAGCAAGTCTGTCATAATCGCTGCTGGAACTAGCTAAACACTGTCTGATCTAGCAGGTCTTTCATCATCACTGCTGGAACTAGCTAAACACTGTCTGATCCAGCAAGTCTTTCATCATCACTGCTGGAACTAGCTAAACATTGTCTGATCTGGCAAGTCTGTCATCATTGCTGCTGGAACTGCTATAGCTAGGTAAATCAGCAGGTCTGTTATCATCTGCTGGAACTAGCTAAACATTGTCTGATCTAGCAGGTCTGTCATCATCGCTGCTGGAACTAGCTAAACACTGTCTGATCTAGCAGGTCTTTCATCATCACTGCTGCTAGCTAAAAACACTGTCTGATCCAGCAAGTCTTTCATCATCACTGCTGGAACTAGCTAAACATTGTCTGATCTAGCAAGTCTGTACATCATTGCTGCTGGAACTAGCTAAACATTGTCTGATCTAGCAGGTCTGTTATCATCGCTGCTGGAACTAGCTAAACACTGTCTGATCTAGCATGTCTTTCATCATCACTGCTGGAACTAGCTAAACACTGTCTGATCTAGCAGGTCTTCATCATCGCTGCTGGAACTAGCTAAACATTGTCTGATCCAGCAAGTCTCTTTCATCATCGCTGCTGGAACTAGCTAAACACATCTAGCAAGTCTGTCTGGAACTAGCTAAACACTGTCTGTTCAGCAGGTCTTTCATCATCGCTGCTGGAACTAGCTAAACACTGTCTAGCAGGTCTTTCATCTAGCAAACATTGTCTTTCATCATCGCTGCTGGAACTAGCTAAACACTGTCTGATCTAGCAAGTCTTTCATCATTGCTGCTGGAACTAGCTAAACACTGTCTGATCTAGCAAGTCTTTCATCATTGCTGCTGGAACTAGCTAAACACTGTCTGATCTGCAGGTCTGTCATCATTGCTGCTGGAACTAGCTAAACACTGTCTGATCTAGCAGGTCTGTCATAATCACTGCTGAAACTAGCTAAAACACTGTCTGATTAGCAAGTCTTTCATCATCGCTGCTGGAACTAGCTAAACACTGTCTGATCCAGCAAGTCTTTCATCATTGCTGCTGGAACTAGCTAAACACTGTCTCCAGCAAGATCTAAACAGTCTGATCTTTCATCATTGCTGCTGGAACTAGCTTAACATTGTCTGATCCAGCAAGTCTTTCATCATTGCTGCTGGAACTAGCTTAACATTGTCTGATCCAGCAAGTCTTTCATCATTGCTGCTGGAACTAGCTAAACACTGCTGAAGCAAGTCTGTCATAATCGCTGCTGGAACTAGCTAAACACTGTCTGATCTAGCAGGTCTTTCATCATCACTGCTGAAACTATCTAAACACTGTCTGATCTAGCAAGTCTTTCATCATCGCTGCTGGAACTAGCTTAACATTGTCTGATCCAGCAAGTCTTTCATCATTGCTGCTGGAACTAGCTTAACATTGTCTGATCCAGCAAGTCTTTCATCATTGCTGCTGGAACTAGCTAAACACTGTCTGATCTAGCAGGTCTTTCATCATCGCTGCTGGAACTAGCTAAACACTGTCTGATCTAGCAGGTCTGTCATCATCGCTGCTGGAACTAGCTAAACACTGTCTGATCTAGCAGGTCTTTCATCATCACTGCTGGAACTATCTAAACACTGTCTGATCTAGCAGGTCTGTCATCATCACTGCTGGAACTAGCTAAACATTGTCTGATCCAGCAAGTCTTTCATCATCGCTGCTAGAACTAGCTAAACACTGTCTTATCTAGCAAGTCTTTCATCATTGCTGCTGGAACTAGCTAACACTGTCTGATCTAGCAAGTCTTTCATCATTGCTGCTGGAACTAGCTTAACATTGTCTGATCCAGCAAGTCTTTCATCATTGCTGCTGGAACTAGCTAAACACTGTCTGATCAGCAAGTCTTTCATCATTGCTGCTGGAACTGGCTTAACATTGTCTGATCTGCAAGTCTTTCATCATTGCTGCTGGAACTAGCTTAACATTGTCTGATCCAGCAAGTCTTTCATCATTGCTGCTGGAACTAGCTAAACACTGTCTGATCTAGCAAGTCTTTCATCATTGCTGCTGGAACTAGCTAAACATTGTCTGATCTAGCAAGTCTTTCATCATTGCTGCTGGAACTAGCTAAACACTGTCTGATCTAGCAAGCCTTTTATCATTGCTGCTGGAACTAGCTAAACACTGTCTGATCTAGCAAGCCTTTTATCATTGCTGCTGGAACTAGCTAAACACTGTCTGATCTAGCAAGTCTTTCATCATTGCTGCTGGAACTAGCTAAACACTGTCTGATCAAGCAAGTCTGTCATCATTGCTGCTGGAACTAGCTAAACATTGTCTGATCTAGCAGGTCTGTCACCATCACTGCTGGAACTAGCTAAACACTGTCTGATCCAGCAGGTCTTTCATCATTGCTGCTGGAACTAGCTAAACACTGTCTGATCTAGCAAGTCTTTTATCATTGCTGCTGGAACTAGCTAAACATTGTCTGATCTAGCAAGTCTTTCATCATCACTGCTGGAACTAGCTAAACATTGTCTGATCTAGCAAGTCTTTCATCATTGCTGCTGGAACTAGCTAAACACTGTGTGATCTAGCAAGTCTGTCATCATTGCTGCTGGAACTAGCTAAACATTGTCTGATCTAGCAAGCCTGTCATCATTGCTGCTGGAACTAGCTAAACATTGTCTGATCCAGCAAGTCTTTCATCATTGCTGCTGGAACTAGCTTAACACTTAGAAAGACCTATACTTGTGCTTTATAGATGGCACAAAGCATTGGTCAAGGTGAAACATGATGAACTGATTAGAATATTAAAGGAAAATAACATTAATGGGAAAGATTTCAGAATTATTAAAAATATCTATTTTAAATAAAAGTCAATAAACTTAAATATCTGGGAACAATCATATCATCATATGGAAAATGTGTGACAGAGATTAAAATCTGAATAGGTCAAGCGAAAGCTGCATTTCAGAAAATGAAAAATAGTTATGCAATAAATTGCCCTCATTTAATGTCCAAAAGAGAGTGCTAAAATGTTACATAAAACCTGTTCTGCTGTATGGCAGCGAATCTTGTAATGTCACTGAACAAATTAGGAAGAATTTGGAAGCAACAGAAATGTGGTTTCTGAGATGAATGTTACGAATACCTTGGACGGCCAGAGCAACTAACAACGATTGCTTGAAAGAGGCTAATGAAGGTAGATCTCCATATACAACTATAATAAAGAGACAAACACTATTCTTTGGCCACATAATCAGAAGAGGGACATTGGAGAACATCATGACAACTGGAAAGATCAGTGGAAAAGGGGGTAGAGGCAGACCAAGAGAGATGATGCTGGATGGGCTGAAATGATGGCATGGAGGAAGATCATCAAGAGAGCTCTTCCAGGCAACCAGGGATCGTGATCTATTGAAATGAATGAGCGCCTACACCAGTTTGCAGGGCACATGATGATGATGATGATTTGACATAAGTAGTGGCAAATAAAATAGTAAATAAAGTGTTAAGTAATGAACAAATACAGCAAGGAATTAGAGAAGGATATGTTTTTTGACCATAATAATGAGAGAGATCAATGAAATACCAGAAATACACATTGGCAGTTAGGAACAACCTACATTATGTGGACAATACAGTATTGATAACTGAAAACACACATGATTTACAGCTTTTGGATACTGTAATAATAAAGAGTGCAAGAAAATGATTCTCTTTAAACATCAAAATGGCAGAAACAATGGTTATAACAAAGAAGAAAGAAACAACAAAATGTGAAATTACAACAGAAGATAAAATGCTTAAGCAGGTCAACAAGTTAAAATATTTGAGAATAATTAAAACATCTGATTCAAGACGAATAACTAAGACTAAGAGAGAATATGCCAGGCAAAGGTTGCATTTCAAAAAGATAAAAAATATTTTATGTAACAAGTCTCATTAAACATAAAAAAGTAGATAAATATTATGTTGAACCAATGCTTATAAACCTACTTGGCATGGAAATAAATCCGGTTAAGACTAAAGTTATGACTAAAAATCCAGCTGGCTTAACTACACCAGTGTACATCAAAGGTAATAAATTAGAACAAGTCAATAATTTCAAATATTTAGGATCCAGTTTTAGTGACCTAGGACCCAGATAGGAAATTATGTCTAGGACGACATCAGTCCTTGCCAAACAGCCAATGTTATGAAGACACCCCCCCCCCCCAAAACCCAAATGTTATGTAAAATTATGCTAAGACTGCTCAGAGCACTAGCTATTAGTATATTTCCATATGGCTGTGAAACATGGAGCTTAACAGCTGAGCTTCAAAAAAAAAAGAAAATACAAGCATTGGAAATGCAATGTTTCAGAAAAATTCTTGGCATGTCATAGAGAGATTACTTCATTAATGACAAGATTCAGTATGAACCTCTTTTCACTACAGTGAAAAGATGGAAAATGTGATGGTACAAAAGTGTAATAAGATCTAGTGGCCTCTCAAAAATAATGCTGCACGGCTCAATAGAGGGAAAGAGGAAAAGAGGCAGAACAAGAAAGACCTGGATGCAGAACTTGACCGACTGGACAGGCTTTAGGCATGCAGCGATGAAGTCCATCACATCTGAGCAACAAAGCTGAAGGGAGATGATCAGATGGTCTACAGCAGCTGATGACCCAATGACATGCAGTGTTACGGTTGATGATGTTGACATACATAAAGGTCCCTCACTTTGCTTTTCTTTATTCCAGGTGATGTCATTGTCTAAAAATGACCAACTGAGAAGAGAAACAGGATGCCTAGAAGAATCTAGTGATGGCGGAAGTAAAGTGTCACTGCGACCTTGTTCTGATAGATCTAGCATGAAATGGGTTCATGACAAGGTGACTATTCATAAATATTTGTATTCCTTGCTGCAGGATCAGCTCCTGAAAAGAAAAGAAAAACATTAGGAGTTATGTAACCTGAAAAAAAAAAAATTGCTGCTGTGACTAAATAGTAGCCAGTGCTTTTACTAATGAACACATTGATAAACAGAGCTTTTATCCCATGTAATGTAGAATTCTTTTTTTTTTAAAAACCTGCCATTACTGGCTGTATTTGCAATTTTGTGGTGTAATTTGGGGAGGGTCTTTGAGCCTAGAAATGTAGGGCTAGTGCTGTTGCTCTAGATTTTGCAGGTTAGGATTTTTTTTCTTAAAATTTTTTCTGGCAGAAAAATCCTTGACGTTAGGATTCAAACCCATGTCTCCAGCACCTCATTTTAACTTCGGCCAACCACTCTTTCAGTGTGGAATTCTTAAGGAAATTAAATTTTAGTAATCAACCCTACCTTCTGAAGTGGATAGTGGGATTTGCTAGGAACACGACATCTAGAAACAGCAGCTGGTATTATGATGTGACCTAGTATATAAGGGGGAAAACTCTTCACACCTAGTAAGGAAATGACAGCGAGTAAAGGACAATAAGTAAAGGAAAGTAAGTAAAGGAAAGTAAGTAAAGGAAAGAATAGTAAATGAAGAATAGCAAGTAAAGGACAGTGTCATGAGTCAACTTTACCACACATTGTGAGAGAAAGACAAACAACAACTAGACTCTGACTCATAACAGCAAACAACAGGTCAATTACTGGTCAGACGGGTTGTATGTAGACAAGACCGGCAGGGCTATGAGGGTAACTAAGTGTTACGAGTGAGGAGGAGGTTACAAGGGGACTTGACAAACGGGTAGACTATGAAATAACCTGGTACCCATTTTAAACCTGGTCAACCCATGATCCAAGGGAAATTTTGAAAAACATCTGCATCTATGCAGATTCAAACATATATTAGTACTGACACTTGTAATATGAATCCACCTATCATTTATTATTTACTTGTCTTTGTTGTATTACTACTCATATCCAAATTTATGTCAGCATTATATAACAATGATTTACCAGAGTAAACCATAGAGAAGGCAAGGATGCTGAAGAATTACATTACAGTAAAATAAAAAGTCCTTTTTTCTCACCAGTAATTTATCATATGATACTAGCTTACATTTGAATAAACCAATCAGCACTCAATGAGGGATGTTGTTCAACATAACGCTAGCCACCATTACTTTCCCGGATATTTCCTAGTACTCATAATAAGCTGGATTGACCTGGAATCCAAGGTCATTTTTCTCCAAATCCACCCGGTGTGGATTCCAACTCAAGGCTGGCTGCCAGGTGATAATCTAGCGGCTGCGCTAGCATGACTGACTACCTTACAACATTAAGAAACATGAAACAAAGATAAGCAAGTAGAAAAAAGTAAAATAATAGTACCTAATAAGGTGGATACATGACATTGAAGATGACAAATTAAACTAAATTGGCAAAATTAGAGATCCTGACCTGTACAGTCTGTGGCAACAGCACAAGCCATATATCCCTAAATCCCCAGACTCACGACCCCCTTGTCTAAACCGCCCTGAAAATTTGTACCCACAGAGAGTAATGATAGTTTTGGACAAAAGATGCATTGACTATGAAAGCACACAGGGCTGGAGAATTGGCAAGAGAAAGAGAGACTTTCAGGCTTGCCGTGAAGAGAGTGACATTCTGTAACAGACATGCTGACTGGTGGAGTACTTAATAACTCTGAGTCTTGAAAGATTCTTCGGTACTCCTGTCAAATCCGGACGAAGAATAAAAAGCCTTGGACGACTTAGTCAGAGTTCTCTCCCTTGGGCGCACTGCGAACAGTGATCGGAAAAGCCACAACGAAACAAACGACACAAGCAACATGGCAGTTAGACGCACTCACATAACTAACATCGTTATTCCGACGCAATTATTTCCGGCAAGAATGCTATAATTGGCTGTTGAGACATACCGGGAGCTGGGGAGGACTCGATGAGGCGGCAGATCTATCGTAGTTGAAGTAGACGAGAGCTACTTTTCTTCCGACGAAAGTATCAGCGTGGTCGCACCACTCACGGTCGTTGGGTCGTAGGGGAAGGTTTTTAGAGCGTCAGACTGGCCGTTGTTACCTGGAGCTTGTGCGAAAACGAGATGCGGCGACATTGGAGAGGATCATAACAGATCACGTCCTGCCGGGGAACGACTATCGTGACTGACGCTTGGCGAGGCTACAGCAACGTGGCAAACTTACGGCCATGGCATCTATCTGCACGAGGTAGTAGTCCACCACCAGACAACTCTTCGACGCCGTACACAGTCACATACACACACAAACAATTGAGGGCCTCTGGATGCTGGTTGAAAACGCACCATTCGCCAACGATTGGGCACCAGCCGCACACTATTGGGCGTCATATTTAGCAGAATTCCAGTGGCGCCACGCCCACAAACATCAGATTGTCGGCCACTATTTCCAAACCCTACGTCAAAATTTTAACATCTAACCCTAACCCTAACCCTACCCCTAACCCTAACCCGACCCCTAACCCTAACCCTACCCCTAACCCTACCCCTAACCCTAACCCTACCCCTAACCCTAACCCGACCCCTAACCCTACCCCTAACCCTAACCCTACCCCTAACCCTACCCCCTAACCCTAACCCTACCCCTAACCCTAACCCTACCCCTAACGCTAACCCAACAACCGCATGATGATGACTACACAACCATTCACAATGCCTCACGAAACCGTACGCAGCCCTACCCCTAACCCTAACCCTACCCCTAACGCTAACCCAACAACCGCATGATGATGACTACACAACCATTCACAATGCCTCACGAAACCGTACGCAGCCCTACACGCAACCGCAGGATGATAGGTAAGTGTGTCGTTTATTTCGTTTGTTTTCCGATTACTGTTCAGAGTGCGGCCAAGGGAGAGAACTCTGACTAACTCGTCCACGGCTGTTTATTCTTCGTCCGGATTTGACAGGAGAGCCGATTCTTCTTAACAAGAGCTGCAGCTTATAACCAATATTTTATATATTTTCCAAATTTTTTTTCTTTAAAACTCATATTGTTCTGTTTCTTTTCTGGCTTTGATTTTTTAGAAAACAGGCACCATAATTAACCAAGCATCAGGTAAGTGTTTGGACATGGGAAGAGGCAAGAATGGAGACTTTGTGAGCACAAGTATTTGTAACGGCAGTGAAACTCAGAAGTGGGCCATGCAACACTACTTGGACATGTGACCATGACACAATCAGAAGTAACCTTGACGGGGAACAGCTGTATGAAAATCTTCTGTTGAAATCTTCTTTTGAATGTATCACTTGACATTCATACCTAATTTTAACTACAAATAATGATAAATTTGACTGTTTGATTGACATTTCGTCATTTCAGCGTCTTCCACTTTTATTTATAAGTATTCATAATGTGAGTAATGTGGATACAAAACAATATATTGCACAATTTATTTAACATATAATGAAGTACAACAATGAATCCTTTTAACTGCATAGAATACTTCATTCTTGTGCTTCATTATATATTGATGTAATTTGTGTAGAATATGTCTGAGTGAAACATTTGGCTGGGCTAACTAGAGGGATGTGCTGAGATGGTTACAATACATTTTGAGGATAGAGTATGGTAGTCCCTACAGACATCCTCTATGATGTATTACTACACTTGGGTAGAAGATATCCATGTGCAGCCTCTGCTGCATCATAAAAACATTGGCAAGTGGGACATGAATGGTACAGATTTTGAGAGGATTTCTTGGAGACAGGATGCCAGGAACTGTGTTGCACAGAGGAACACAATCAGGGAGATAATAAAAAAAAAGGAGGAAATAATTGCAGATAGCTTAACTCTTTTTGTCTCTAATTATGGAAGATTTGTCTTGATTCAAGTGGGTCTTGCTAGTCTTGCCATCACCATGGATTCTGATTTCTAGTCTTCTTATTGGACTATATTATACTGTTATCTTTTTCTCCTATGATCAGGAATGAGATCAAAAGAGAAAAAGTCGGCACAGAACCAATTCTAAATTACAAACAAAGACAGCAGGTGAAATGGTTTGCCCACTTAGAGAGAATGCCCTGTGACACAATACCATACAAAGCATACATGGAAAGAGAAGAAGGATGTAGAGCACGAGGTAGACCAAGAACAATATGGAAAGATAACATCAGAGAAACTCTACAACAGCACGATGTACCTATGGTCGAGGCGGCCAGAAGAGCTAGAGACAGAACCTTATATCTCCCTCGACACCCACAGCGGTAGAAGAGGAAGTGAAGAAAAAGAAGATCTGGAAAGGCCGAAGGTGCTAATTCATATTGTTTGTGTCCTCTTTTTTTTTTTTTTTAAATCCACAAAGGGATATATTGTTCTGAAGGAATACAAGATATCCACAAAATTTATTGTAAAAATAAAATAAAAAATGGCCACCTCCACTTCATCAACATGGTGGTGAGATGATCAAATGACAACTACTACCACCACAGTGTAAAAGTATCATTAGTACACAGACTAGGTTAGTGATGTATAGTGATGGCGTGACCAGATAGCATCATGTACCCCATTATCCTTGTAGGGTTAAGAATTTTTTTATACATCTGAATCCATCAGAGCAAATTACAGGTTTTAAAAAAAATGTGTTCCTAGCTGGAAAAACAAAACACAACAATACTGCTGAACTAAAATTCTGTATTAAATGTTATTTTAGTTGTGTGAATCAGCAGTCAACTGCTGCTTGCGTATTTATGTATTATTTTTCACATATAAGTGCTTATGTTCTCCAAGAAAATTTATAAATATTTCAGCAAATTATCTTTGCTTACATATGACCAAACTGTGTGTTGCTGGCTGACACTGTTTACATAAATTATACATGTTAGGCGATCACAATAGTGTTATTTTAATGTTTTCAGAATGATTTCAGAAGCCATTGTATTCCGCTCCCTTTCTTCATTACAATGTTTTGGTTTTGTAGAAGGATTTTTATTACATTGCACAACTATTGTTGTATATCTTCAGTGCCTTTGGTTCTTTTCTGTATTTTGTTCTGTTTATTTCATTTAGGAGGTATTAATATAAAGGGTTTTTACATGTTTCTTTATAGTTCATAATTTTATATTTATGGCCAGTTAGTGATGGATTTTTTCTTTCGGGGAAAATATTAAAAACATCGTAGCCTCCACAGTCCATGGCGACAGCACTAGCCTCAGGCTCAAGACCCCCTGTCTACACCGCCATAAAAAGGTGGTAAAACTGACAGTAGTGACAGTTTATCATTAGATAAGTTTTCGGGGATCCTCCATGTTCTCCTGCATTTGAGTTTAAAAATGATTTTTTTATGATAATCAAAATATAATTACTCTTTGATGTAAGTTTTCGGGGATCCTCCATGTTCTCCTGCATTTGAGTTTAAAAATGATTTTTTGATGATAATCAAAATATAATTACTCTTTGATGTTTTTAATTCTCAGCTCTTTCTGTTCATATCAGTTTTATGATAAAGTAGTGGCAAATGGCTTAGTAAGTTCATTAGTTGTGTGACTGCTCCATTGGTGGAGAACATCATCAAATAAATGAAAAGAAAGATGGCAAGTCTTCAGGTGATTCATTGCAAAGGAAAAAATGATGTTGATTATCAGTTTATATGAAAACAGCTAGTTTACACAGGTCACTGCCTATGTGGCAAACAGTATGACACTACAGTCTGGAAACGTGCCAAAATATATTTAATGGGGACTGAAAGTTTTTGCTCCTTTTTCCTGAAGAACTTGTTCTGAGAGTGGTGCAAATGATGATAAGGTCATACTGTGTATTATGTGAAATTGAGGTTAACCAGCAAAAGAGTGAACGTCAGTCTTATGCAGATTCTCTTTTAGCAGCACAAAATGTCTAGGAATTCTTTTATCTTATGCCAGGAGCCTTTGAGATGACGTTACAAACTCCTTTCATTGGAACCATTTTCTGTCTACAACTTGAAGGTCAGTCTAAAAACTATTTCACAAGTCAAGCAGGTCCAATCCAAAATACTTTAAAACTTTCATAAAGTTAGTGATCAAGTGTAAGCAGAGCATGAAAGTATAAAAATTGGAATACAAGATAGTTTTGACACATTTTTCACTAGTGTGCTTCTGTCCATGATATTAAATACATTTTAGCAATTTTCCATCATCTTGTTGCTTCATTACCTGTAAAACTTCAGATACATTGTGAATGATTTCTTTACCTGTGACCAAGAATTCAGCCATAGCTCATTACTTATATGTACAGCATTCTCAGTCTAGTTAAAGAAAATACTGGGAATGTTTTCTTATTGATCTAGGTGGTGATCATTGTTCCCCTACACAGTTGCTGTCCACAGGATTAACACCCTAAGGATGAGAATCAGACAGGAGCAAATCCAGAAATCTCATTCAGCTGTATAAACATAGATATATGTGTTAGGGCACCCCCATGCTTACAAAGTAACATAACATGCAGTCCAAAATGGGGATGGGAGATTACACTGATTGGGGCTGCAAGATAATCCCAGCCTAAAATAAGTAAATTTTCTGATACAGAAAGGAAGCCAACATGGTACTGACCATACCACCCGTCACATGACCAGTTCATCTATAAAACTAAAGATATCAAACAAGATGAAAAATAGAAGCAGTAAGCTTCACAACGTCACAAACACAAACGCCGAGTGAACGTTGTGGCCTAAAAAACTTAAGCAGCACATTACAGAAATCTACAGTAGCACAAACACGAACAAGAATACACTTTAAAGATAAGTGAAATTATTAGAACGGTCATACAAAAAAATACAGAGCAGACAAGTTAGATGAGCATATCAGATAGTAGCAGTTCTGGGAGTGTTGGACACATGAGTGAGGTAAAATTAGTGAACTGCAGTGAAATTATAAAAATATCAAGAAAAGATATCAAACGAAATAAAAAGTAGAACTGCCATCTGTACTATAAATCAATAAGACTAATTATTCATTGCACGCTTTATGGTACGTATATGGGTCCTTTGTTCGTGTCTGCGGCTTACGCATTGCAACGCGCTTTGTAATGCCAGGGTGCTGAGTTTGATCCCAGCTGCAGAGGGTTTGTCTTGCATTGATTTCGACAGTGGTACCAAAAGCTGACCGTACAGAAAGCAGTGGCAAACTACTGAATGTAAAGTTTGCCTAGACAAACCATAACAGCCAAAAAATGCTGGGCATTCCACATATTCTTTATTATTATTACTATTTTGTGTGTGCCTTGCTGTAGTGGCACAAGTAAACTGCATTAGCACAGTTACTAGCACACCTGTCCATCAACTATAAAGTCATGTGTTTGAATCCCAATCAGAATTCTTTAAAAAAATTCGCTTTGGTTCCAAGATGGAGCAAAACCATCATATTTCATGTACAAGGAAATATTCTTGTAAGCAAAGGCAGCCAACATGATATTTAAATAGGCACAGATTTGTCCACAAAGTTTGGAGCGAGCACCGATTATTCAATGTGTTGTAGAGTGTGAAGTAGGGGCTGGTAATAGTTTAATGTGAATGTAGATTTTCCCTGGCGATTGTTGAATGTCAATATTGTAGGTTTCTTCTGGTGATTGTTGGATGTGAAAATTGTAGTTTTCCTCTGCTGATTGTTGAATGTGAATATTGTAGGTTTCCTCTGCTGATTGTTGAATGTGAATGTTGTTGGTTTTCTCTAGTGACTATTGGGTGTGAATATTGATGGTTTTGCTTTGGTGATTCATGGAGGATTTCTCTGGTAATACCGCGGTCCAACAATTAGGTAATGAGACTGAAAAGTGCCATCTATGTAGCCAAGCATGGAATCTAAAGAGATAACCTTCATCTATGATCTGGCAACTTTGCATCACTGCCTGATAAGCAGACGACAAACAACCTGCTATATTATTGACCTAGTTAGATGTGCATTGTTACGAAATCAGCATGGAGCTAAAAGCTAACATTAAATTCTGTTTAACACTCAGAAAAAGGGCCATTAAGACAGTTGAATTGATGCGACAAATTTATGGGGATAATTGTTTATCTGGTGCACAAATTATCAGGTGGTATTAACGATTCAAATGTGGTGTGTATATATATATATATATATATATATATATATATATATATATATATATATATATATATATATATATATATATATATATATATATTATTAGGGCTGTACCGAATATTCGCTTCGGGGCCGAATAGTGGACATAA